GCATAGAATTTTGCATAATTCTCTCATAGCGTATAAGGTATAAGAAAATGAATGAATCAAGATCCTCTATTTCCTTTGTTTTCCATAAAATGGAAGACTCTGATTGGTTAATTTTCTTGTTCTTTATATATTATGTATTATATAATACAATGGTTTATGTTCTAGCCTTAAATTTTTAGGGCTACAGTCCCAAAGATAAGCATAGAACAGCTAGCATAAAATCGTCTGAACCAATGAACATTCAACAAAAAGTTGCCATATCGATTAACATAACATATTCACTGGTCTATTTTGTGCTAGCTACAACAATAGGCCTGTTCTTTTTAGCTGAACTTTTGCACCAGTTCATCTTTCTTCCTTTTCTCTCCAGAAGGAAAGAAGAGTTATGCATTTTGCATGATGTAGCCCTTATTAATATATGTATGATATAACGAAGAATGTCCTCTCAAGAATATTTGACTGTGGAAATTAAACATTTTCGAATGAAAAGGTGCACTATATATACTAAAGGAAGTCTAGTAGCGTCTAAGAGGCCATCGGCTTCACACACGAAGTAAAACCGCGAGTGCTACTGTGGATTCTATTTGTGTCAAACAATATAAAGTAGAGACATATGTGCCCGCAGCTTCACTGCGGTTACATAAGTGCCGACGAGGGGAAACCGTACAGAAACGTGAGCACATCGCCGTCGCTGCTGCGATGGGGAGATCAGCCGCATCACTTTGCGCTTTAATGAAATTGAATTTGCACTCGGGTATGTATCGGATTATACGTTATGAATTCAATATAGAGAATGTCATATCTCTCAAATCACACGTCTTTCAATCTTTGATGCAAGAAATCCATCATGATTTAATTATTAGCTTGTTCCAGTCTTTGGTGATCTTTGAAATGTAATATCATTAATATCACACTTGTAAATTCTACTAATTAATTTATCCTTAATATAGTCATCAAGTAACTTGATTAATTTATTATTAATAGACTTACAAAATAATTCAATTTATTGTAATGCTTATGGAATGAACTTACAATTAGTTTTGACAATCTAGAATCTTTCCTAAGAATTTGCAGAATAAATGTCAATTGATATTATTCTTTCTCCTTATTTTCTTATCTTTTTATAGAAGATTTATATTATACACTGTTATTGTATTATGAATCTGTGATTATTTGAATATTTACTCTCTAAATTTTTTGAAGTGGAATCTTATTCTAAGAGCCAATTTTGAAAAAGAGTGACTCAATTTTTAATTTTTAAGAGTGAGATTTCTATTTTTCAAAGTGAGATTCACACACTCTAAAAGTTTTAAAAAGTAGCTTCGCTGTTAGTGTTCTATTGATTGTCCTTTTATGGTAAAAATTGTAAGATTTTTTGGGTTTATTACAATTTTAAATTTTTATATTTCAGTTTTGATATATTAGTTTTTTGAATAAATGAATTATAAATAATTACGATATTAGAGATATATCGACCGAAACGGTGTCATTGACCGTTTAAAATTTGATTCTGCTATAATTACAACGAGATCGATTCGACGCGCCGTTATAGAAAACGCCGGAGCAATATCTCTCCGCGACGTATAAATATCTTTCCGAATCCCGAAAAATCTCGCAAATAATTAACAAGCTGACTCTCTCGAGAACAGGAATGAGGGTTTAATGGACGTGGCTCGACTAGACAAGTAGTGACGTTTTGACGCGTGCCTCGGTAAGATAAATCGCTAATGGATCCAGAAACCCGAGACATCTGCGATAATATAGGCGAAGATGTGAAGGGATCTCTCATCCGTCGTAAACGTAGGAATATGCTTAGTGCTTTTTTCGGTATCGTCTTTCTGATGAATAATTCCGTCCTGCGTTTACTTTCTCGCGAAAGTGAAGGAGCAATCATTTTTTTTTTTTTTTCAGCATTTATAAGTTTGTCTTATGATCGCCACGTAAGTCTAAATCCACAACCCTGCTTTAAGAGACTGAAGCTGTAAAGCCGTAAGAAATTGATCAATCACAGTCGATTATTTTTCTCATATTCGACTGTGATTGCTCGATTTCTCACGGCTTTACGGCTCACGACCTTTAAAGCAAGATTGGACCCTAGACTAAGGAGAAAGAATAACTTCCGAGCAAATGTGCGCAAATAACTTCAGTGAGCAACGGTAAAATTTTCGAGGTTCTCTCGCCTCAGAGATATATTCCTGAGGAAATTGAATTCCGCTCGTATTAGCCAGGTCCATGTAAGTCGGAAACGGTAACTGCTGATTGCCCGTAACTTATTCCAAAGGTGCAGTTTTTCCCCTCCTTTGTTATAATCTTCTACGACGCACATCTCCATTTTTATAGAATGAATTGAAATTCATAGTTCTGTGCGACTGTCGTATCCTATTATTATCTTTAATATAAATTACATCCGTTTTGTTTAAATTAATAGTATTGCGAAGAAAAGCTTTTTTAGCGCACATATATTCGTAGCTATATTCATTTGTTCCGGCTGTCATAATTTTGGCTTCCTTCCAAATCTTGTCACTGAGCGAAGAATTATTGGATTCTTTGTAAGTTTTCTTCTCAGATTTTGTCCGTCGAACAGTGGAAAACACTTAAATGCTTACGATTATAAAAATATACCAGGTGATACGTCAATTAATTTAATTATTTCATTTGTGCTATTTTCTGCGTCGGTTAAATTGAATCAAGACCGTAATAAACAAAATGCATATATTCCTTTATTATTCACATTTTATTTTATTATTCACGTTTACACAAAGTAAAATGCTTGCATTAAATTCCCGTGATATTGAATTGCTGTAGAAAATATTAATATACAATGTTTCCCGTGTTGCTTTTAACTGACTGCGACAGGGGAATTGTTTAAATTACAAATTCCAGATAGTGCGCACGCGTTGCGTTTATTTAATAATAAATAAATTATTCACAATTTGTATATCGGTGCTAGAAATTGATAGCCAATCAAAATCTGCGATGTATAACAGAAAAATATCATTTTACTGTTAAGAAAAGTTCAGTTTATTCAGTTTCAGTTTACTTTTTTCTTTTAGGCAACATTTATCTTTAATAAAGAATTTTTCTTGATAATTAAAAATTTAATTATTACGAATTTAAAAAATTTATTATCATATATTCAAAGCATGAATTTTTTTTTTTTAGAATATAAAAGAATATAAAATTTTAAAGAATTTAATTATATAATAAGCAAATCGAATTTATTTCAATTTAATAATCTTGATTGAAGTATTAAATTTTAAATAATATTTAGAAATATATTTAAAAAAATCGAATTCAGAATATATTTTGAATAAATTTGATGCTTGTGATGAAACTTATGATAGATTTGCGAATATATAACTTTTGAAATACTTGAAATAAGTAATTAATATTTGAATATAGTATTATATTTTTTTTCCGTGTAGAAATAAATTGCGTATGTTAAAACATGACTCATATAATTAATGATCACTTTGTTTCTCCTTGAGCACGAAGATAAATAAAAAATCCATTACATTATTTATTATTTAGGCTACACCGAGCCGTATGTATTGTTGATGATGAAAATAAACGTGTGGCGGATCCAGAATTCCACCTTTTTCGCTGCCGATCGAAATTGCGATCACGCGAGGCGCGATTAACAGACGAGAAGCGATCAACGGACGTGCTTTTCGTCACTCATCCGGAAACTTAGGCCAAGATTTAAACATTAGTTTCGTGACAGTTTAATATCTACGCCTTGGCACGAGACGCGCGAAGCGCACTAGCTACTAGATCTTCAGTAGCGATGTTGAAACCAGACTTATGACACGCTCGGATAAGCCGGCCGTATATTATAACGGCATTTAATACCGCCCATTGTTCTTTTCCCCTGGTCTTTATTATAATAATAAATTCGATATATCTGCGCGTGAAGGGAGCACGGAGCGCCACGTGTTTCGAGCCGTCGTCGTTTCTTAATCGTGGCAGGATCAAGGGAGCGGATAGAAACTAAGGCTGATACAAATGATCCGACGTGGAAGCTTACGATAACTGTAAGACCTTGTGCAAGACTTTGAATTTATTATATAAAATGTTTAAAAAATTTTAATGCGCAAGGATTATGGATCTTTATTGTGTACGTTCATTATCAATAGCAACCCCACGCAATTAAAGCTTCGTAACTGGAACATCTGTCCGAACATTCACGTTCTCGGCTTTCTATCATCGACAAGTTACAGCACTCGTATAGCTGTAATAGATTGACGGGACGAGGAGTCGTAAAAATAGGAAATAAAACTTACGATACGATCGCAGGCGGTGAGAAATAATTATATCATCGAGCATGTGCCAGCCAATGCTGTGAATGTCATTTATTATATTTTAGTTTATTAAATATTATTAATAACTGAAACATCTAAAAATTTAGGTAGACACAGGTCTAAAAATAATTTTGTTTAGACCATTCAAATAATTAAGCAGAATACAGTTTAAATTGTCATTAATATTTAAGCGTTCTACATAACTATTTTTCTACGTAATTTTTGTACATAATTTTTACTCCAGAATGCTACCAACCGAAGATTGATAAAAAAACGGAGGAAATATGCATTTTTCTACATAATTATAGCTTGAAAATTTAGTTAGATACTGATCTGTGAAAATAATTTTGTGTTGGATGATTAAAATGATTATATAGAACGCTTAAATGTTGATGAATTTATATTGCGTCCTTAATTATTTTACTGATCCAAACAAAATTATTTTTAGATCTGTGTCTATCTAAGTTTTAAAATACTTTAGCAAAATCATTTTTTTCTGAACACTTTAACATATGAAATGTTTGCGAACGAATATTGTCTTACAAGGAAATGACAATTTTCTGCATATACATAATAAAGAAAAAGCGGGAGCAATAAATTAACAATTTAATACAAAGGGCTAACGAACCGTAGAAGTTATTTTAATAACAGAAATTCATACTTAAAAAGTAATAATTAAAAACAGACGTTTCTACTTACACATGAAGTCATTAGGTATCGCGTGGAGCGATAATGTTCTATGGTTCTCTCACGATAGCCCTCGTTCGAATGACAAATCTCCGAGAGTTTGCCAGTATAAATCATCATAGCTTCCCTCAAGAAATTTCGACGAATTTCGGTGTGCCGTTCAGCATACATAATAGCGGCGCGGTTCAGCAATGCGGATTGCAGGCTCACTATTGAACCCGATTCACCATTGAGCTTCGAATCTCAGATAGCTCAGACAGAACATCTTTACGAAAGCGCAAAGTATACGTGCACACACGAGGAACACGACGTCTTGGGGAATACCCGCGGAGACGGTGCGGAAGGTGGACGGAAGAGGATCAGCGCGAGGAAGAGGGAACGAAGAGAGACGTCGCGCAGGCGCTGATCCAACGCGTGGAGAACGCTCATCGTCCGCGTGGCGCGAGTTAGAACTTGACTTGGTGCTTTTAGTCTTGTTCCATCCCTTCGTCCATCCTCGTCCTTGTCGGGCGAGAGCAGCCCTCGAGGCGGATTATCGTCAGAAAGGAAGTATGCATTCGGTGTCTGGACCGGTCGCGGTAAGAAGAACGCGGAGCCGACGAGGATTCCGCCCGATCCGCCGACTGAACCGGCAAACCATTTATCAGCGATGAGGAGGAACACGCGTCGTCCCCACGTGCCTTCCACAGGTTCGCAGCAGCAGCGAGGTGAAGTGAAAGTTCATCGACGACGTCTCCAATAAAAAAGCCTTCAGACGAAATTCTTTGACCAGGAGATCATCTTTCCGGTGAACATCCACACATGTGATTGCACGCGCTCGAAAATTGACACTTAAACCAGGGAGAAATAGTAAGAAACAATCTTACCTCTGAAATATAAAATTTTATAATCTGAAAAGAAAATTCTAGAAATCGTACATGTTATCGAGCACCGATCGATGTGCCTGATCGCGATATGTCGCAGGAGATTTTTTCCCGTAGGGAGACACTCACGGCCGAGACGAATGATCCTCGTAATTCAAAAAGGAGTACTCGCGCTCTACGTCGATGGCGCATCCTAGCCAGAGCGCTGACAGGCTCGCCAGAGCCGATCGGCAGCGAGTCTGACGAGGAGGTGTCGGTGAGGCGATTCACCAGTTTCGGTCTGCTGAAGTGTGCGCTGCTGGAAAACATGCTGGCGGACGGCGAGTTCAGTTGGTGCGAGTACTCGACTCAGCTGGACGGTCGGTCGTACAACGTGCAGATACGTCGGATAAGCAAGTGTTTCACAGCGAGCGAGCTGATCGGCTTCAACAATACTGGGAACGTGTGCGTGTGGCCGTCCGAGGAGTGTCTGGCCTACTATCTGCTGAGGAATCACGGCCTCTGCCGGAGTCGGAACGTCCTTGAACTTGGCGGTGGCATGAGTTGTCTGGCCGGTGTACTCGCCGCCAAATACTGCAACCCCAGCACCGTCACCCTCACGGACGGTAACGTGACCAGCGTCGACAACGTGCGCTGCATCGTCGCCAGGAACGACATGGCGCATCTGGTAGAGTGCGGAGTCGTTCAGTGGGCTCAAGCCGCCAGGGCCCTTCGACAGACGATGATCAACGGTAACCGCGTTAAGGTGAATGCCCAAATTCGATCTTGAAAGGGCGATTGATAGCCCGATGTCATTCTCAATGCTATAACGATTAAAATTGCGCATCGACACTATTGCATTGATTGTGAGAGAAATGTTTCGTATGGTATGTGGCCTACGAAAATTTTCTTACTTTTTTTAGTGAAAAATTTTGTTCTGATTTGGCTAGGCTAATTAAAATTTTTTTAATTAAAAAGCAAGTCAGTATGGAGCAAGTCAGTCGGCAGCAAACAGGCGAAAATTAATTATTAAGAGGACTTTTTAGTCGTTGAAGAGACACTCGATAGGTCACAGAAATCGCATCTTGAATTGCCTTAACGATTTCCGAAGCTTCCAGATTTTCTGTAAAATTTCATTTTAATTTAAATCGCAGAAGGATTACGGTAGTTCTTTGAAATTGTGTATCGTAAATACATTTATTCGCCATCTTTATTTCTTCAATGTGAAACGTATTTCCATTGCTTTTTAATAGGGTGTATTCGATGTGATTTCTACGAGCAAAGAATTGTGGGCGCGTAGTAAAAAAATACAAAAAAGCATATCCTCGATATTGAAACGTGACAGGGATGCTTGCTGACAATGGTATTATACGCAGCTACAAAAAGGCCGGAAATTAAATATTGAAAATGTTAATGAGAGAAAGGCATTTTTTAACTTTTATCATCACGACGCAGACGTTAACGTTTACATTAAATAAAAATCTATTCGTACATTGGCTACTTAGAAAAGTTAAATTACCATAAATTCGTACAATAATAAGAAATATTATATGCGTTGGAAATTTTTCCAACACCCCTACTTTGGAACACCTACTTTGTTTTCGAGCTGTTAAATTCCCGGCGGTACGTACAGGTTTTACAATTAGATAAATCTTGGAAGTGCGAGAAAGTTAAACATTTGCATTTACATGAATTCCAAGGATCCGCCAAGTGACTTTGGGAATCGAAGGGTCAGCTTCGTACTTTGCTAATCGCGGTATAGAATTCAGCTTGGTCGCCGACCCTGCGATCGAATAATGCGTCTCGTAAACTCCGACCGCGACGTGATTCGCATCTGTAACGAGGACGATAGCGACGAGTTCGCTAACCGTAATCGACGACGGATCATCGGATATCGACACGCCCGGTTTCGCGGTTGCACGTTCTGACAGCAACGCGCTACTCATTGCCACGATCAATGAGTCATTGCGGTCATTGCGGTCATTGCGGGCCGATGAATAGAAAAATTGAGGCTTTGTCAGGGAAGCATAATGCAGTCGGGAATCACAGAATAAATAGAGGAACGATAATCCGCGATCAAAGATTTGTTCGTACTTTCGCGATAATATAGAGTTGGCTCTTTTGAAAAAATTTCCCTGAAATCAGAAAAGTTAAGGGCAAGAGAGATTCTGAGAGTTTGGCAAAACGATAAGTCTCTCCCTAAGTCTGAGTCAGTGAATAATCAAGAGTTATCGGTTCCAAATATATTCATTGGTATAATATATTCAGTGAATTTACAGTGCAATTCAAGTAAAAAATCAATGATACATGGAATTCTTAATCTTACTTTATATACATTCAATGTATGTTGGAACTAATGTGTACGTATCGGTGTTTTAATTAAATGCTTAAACTTTTTTTCTTTTTTCGTTAAACTTCACTAATTATAGTGGGATATTTCGAACTGATAGTAATCAATCATATCCACTGATTCAATGTTAGAGAAATCAATTTTTTTTCCTAATTTATGCTATTATAAAATATTGTCTAATTTATGCTCTCATAAATTATGTTGTAAAAGGCATCATGAAAGAACGCATCTCTTGCGAAGCACGTGCTATGTTATAGAGTCACGTAACAAAGACTTATTGTAGCATATTTCGAGATGTCATACTATCACATGTGGTTGTCACTGCTTATTTATAGAGATATTCTAGAAAATATATGTGCGAAAATATTATGTTACATCTGAATTCCTTGTTGAACAAAAATTTAACTCAGATTTTTTAGATCAATATTGCAAATTAATTTTAATGAACTTAAGACTTCTCACAGATTAAAATTTATCCACATATTGTAATGCCTTCAATTTTTACATATCGCTATCATATTCTGACATTTCTAATTATTTTCAAGTAAAACATTAAAAAATTTAAAAACCCTACCCCAAAAAAGACTATTCTTAAATTAACCGTAATATATGTATAAGAAAAAATCTTGTAATTTTGCTTTAAAGATTTTAGTCTTAATTTGATTGAATTTGTATTGATGTAAGATTTTTAATTGAGCAAGTCTTGAATTAAGTGCAAAGTAATACTTGCGTCAAAACAAATTTAATCAAGACTAATTAAATTAAGACTAATATCTTTGAAGCAAGATTACAATATTTTTGCTTATATATGAGTATATTTTGGTTGATTTAAGAATAGTTTCTCTTTCTTTCTGTGTAGTAGCTAGAAAATGTATATACTTGATGTCCTGTGTATTCTTCTCGATATGTACCGCGAAGAACAGTCATATGAGAGCTTAGAATCCCCGCGTCTTTGCGATGTCCGGTTCAGATACATAAACACACCATTCGGATATTTCCGGCTAAAGTATCTAAGCTCCATTTCCGGTAGTCTTTATAATGTAGCCTCTATGCTCTTCCGGTAGTTCGCAACATTTCACGCAATTGACATCTTTTTCGTGGGAAATTTCCGCTTGACCGGAACCAATGAAGTTTTTCACTAGCTAACCAAAATCGAAGATCATTCGACCGAGATTAATTGCAAAAGCGGCCATTTGACTTCGGCTATTTATACGAAAATCACTGTTTATCTGAAAAATTCAACATTGAAAAGATTGAACGTCTTTCCAACGTATCTGATTTTTGCGGTCGAATTTCTGTAGATTTCTGCTTTTTAATTTGATACACTGAAAATCATTGAGGTCATTTGATATATCCTTTATGGGAGTCAAATAATAAAATAAAAATATGGGAACGATGGTTATTTTATTGGTCAAGTCGAAACCACGAAACATATCGCGAATAAACTTGATCGAGATGTATACATTTCACATGGAAGAAACGGTTTTGCTGAAGTATCTAAAAGTTTAGCTAGATACAGATTTGAAAATAATTTTGTTGAAATATACAATAAGATTCTTTCTCCTTTCTTGGCAATGTAAGCTAAAGTAATTTATATATATATTCTATATAATAATAAGACTCTAGATGTTAAACAGTAACAAGTGGAATTAATAAGAGTCAAGTGTCGAAATTCATGTGCAAATGTAAGTAAAATCTTTAAAATTGTTTCTTAATATATAATAAAATTTTACTACATATATTAAAACTTCCAAATTACGTTATTTTGTTGAAATATCAAATAATATCTGTAGAACGTTCAAGTTGATTGCTAGAATATAAAAAAATGTTTTGCAGCTCGTCGTGCTTGAATTTCCTATATAATTATTATTTCACATAATAGTTCAACAATATTATTTTCTGTACCTAGCTAAATTTTTAAATGCTACAGCAAAATCATTCTTTCCGTACGGCAATTTAAATTCTTTTTTTCGAGTCGATATAATATTTTGCATGTCCGTGACACCAATTACTTACAGATTACGTATAACAATGTTATATAACTTTTTTTTTATTTTTCAAATGGTTTCTGAAAACAGAGATTATACACACTAAAAAAGTTATTTTGAAAGTCCGACATATTATATTATTTTGTCTGATAAAACCGTCTTTTATCCGTCACGAGAAAGTTCACGATTAAAGCTTCTTGAGCTATCTTTTACATTTGTACGAAGTTTCAGATTCTCCCGATTTTACGAGTTGCCAAACTTCTCGTGTAAGTATCCTTTGCAAATATACGAAACGAATCTATCGTTCTTCGAACTTCATACGATTTCAATCAGAGTGTGACACGCGTGTTCCAAGTCGAGATTTGCGAATACATTGATTCTTGTCTCAGCCGCCAGATTGAAATCTGGATTATGATTTCTCGATATAGACCCGGACGACTGACGAAAATACTCGACTGCCGTCGGGTCTTTACAACGTGATCCTAAGCGCCGACTGCCTCTTCTTCGACGACGCTCGTTTGGATCTGGTGGAGACGATCTATGGCTGGCTCACTGACGACGGGGTCGCCTTGGTGATGGCACCTAGACGTGGCACGACATTCCAGAAGTTTGCCGAGGCGTCGATCAAACGTGGCTTCATAGCGCGCCAGACGGAACGGTACGACGACATGGTGTGGTCGAGGCATCTGGAGCTGCTGGAGAATAGTCCGGAGTACTGTCCGGATCTGCATTATCCGGTATTGCTGGAACTCACCAAGCAGAAGAAGACGCCGCCCGGATGATCGGGCTTGATCGACGAGGACGACGAGGACGATCGGCCGGACGAGAGTCTCAGCGAGGAATGAAAACATGTCTGTGAACATGTCCTCTCCTTTTTAAATATGTACACACTTTCTTTGTGTCTGCGCGCGCAATAAAATTATTGCGGAAGGGAACGAATGCATTACTTCCGAGTGAAGATGCGCGTTCGCTGTAATGGGATATAAGGATGTATAAAAGCTGCCTTTATGTGTCGTCCAGCAATGTCAAGGTTGATTTTTTTATTAGTGCGTCTGATAAAACGTTTTAGCGGTCACATCCACTCGCGGATCGATCTTCCGCTCGTACGCATCGTTCCACATCATCGCTGCTATCGGAAAAGTTCAATGAGGAAGGTATTATGTGCAACGTGCGAGAATCGCTCGGCGAGCTCTCTTGAGTGCCCGGTCTTCCTTTCTCATTAATTAATAACCCATGGATATTTTGTGACATGCTCGATATTTTATGAATGAATGCGTAAATCAAAAATACAAATGTTACTCTCTGAATTCTTTAGAATGGTATCTCACTCTAAAAAATGAAAATTGAGCTAGTCTTGACAGAGTGTGGCTCAACCCTTAAGAGTAAGATTTTACTCTTTAGAGCGAGAGTCACTCTAAATGTTTTAGAGAGTAATTATGTCCGTGCTTTTTTAACATCTCATATATTTATTTGGACTGAACTACGTATGATCAATTTGGTAGAGGCGTACAATATTTATTTAAAGCGCGTCTTGTAGCGCGAATATTTAGCAGCAAATAGACGCGGAGTAGTTCGGCGAGCCATAATCCTTCGCTTTAAATTAGTTTAAAATATCGTAGAGCTACACAGATATTATTCTCATTCGCAGCAGGTGAAACTTCTGGCACCATTTTGCACGCGGCACATATCAAGAAATAGGAAATTAACTCCAACGGCGAATATTACAAAATGTTTCGAATTATTGAATTCTACGATGAGGAAGAATGTTGAACATAGGCTAATATTCGTAGTCGTTTCTTATTTCGAGACCGTACGTTAAGTGCGCTTGATATATATATATATATATATATATATATATAAATAATACGATTCTGTGATTGGTTTGTCACATCTTAAAATTGTACTTAAGATCTTAAATATAAGAATTGACTATTAATACTAGCCTTAAACTTATCTCTGAAATATTTATGTCATGATATACACCAGATGACAAAGATTGTATTACAGAAAATAGGTTTTCAATTAGCCAAAGTTTTCGAGGATTAATCGTTGATCTAATAATTTATGGACATAAATCTTTGAAGAAACGTATTTATAAATTATGAATTCTTCCAAAATAGATCGTATAGTGTCCATTATAGTGTCTCATATATTTTTCATCTGATGTTAAAGCATGACTCTTGATAGAAAGGACCTTTCTTAGGCGTACCTGATTTTATATATTGAACCTAGTAGAAATGTCGAAAAGACGATCGAATTTCGGATTAAAGTGTCGTTTATAATAACGGCAACGCGATGCGATACCGGCAATTTTATCTTCAATCATCAAATAAATGTCGACAGTAAGTATAACAGATAACTCGAGCAATCTCTCGAGTTCCTCGTTCTTCGCAGCCGACAGGACCAATTGTATAGACCGAGTAATGTTTAGATACAGCCGAACCATAACTGGTAGACTGCGAAGTCATTTCCAGTAAGTTCTATTCATTGCAAAACTGCGCTAAAAGACATCCCCGTATTCTTGAATAAGGAAGAGAGTATATTGCTACTGTTTAATGCTATTTGGGTCCAAAACTGAAGCAAAATCTTCAGGAGTGAAATATTGACATTTGCTGATTCAGCGGTCCAACGTTGAATTCAAACGCGTTAATGAAATATCAATAAATATTATTATGATTGTTATTATAAACAGAGACAGATATAGATCGTTGTAGTTGCGGGATAAATTTAAGAATTTGAGACGAATTCTTACGCAAGTCGATTTTGCCTTATTCATATTACATACATTGTAGTAATTTATTTATTTATTTATTTAGATGCGTTTATATCCTTATGACAAAGGAACTCTCGAGTATTTTCTAAGCATCTCCGATCGTGTTATGAACCTATTACCTCAAAGGACCAATATTTATAGGCACAATTAAGTCTAGTCAGAATTACCAAACGTACTTCCATTATTGCGTATCTTCTTATACATATATAAGAGTTAAGTGTCCATAAAGTCTCTCTATTTGTGTAAAGGCAGAATTATAATAAATTAAAGGAATTTTAATTTAGACAGGAAATATCATCGCTTGGAAAGAACGATTTTGCTGAAGTATCTAAAAATTTAGCTAGATGTGTGCAGACCTAAAAATAATTTTGGACTATCAAAATTATTATGTAAACGGTTAAACGTTGATGACAATGTTGTAAAAAAGTTTTAACATTTCGGCAATTAGTTTAAACCATTGTACATAATTATATTGATATGGTCAAAATAAAATTATTTTTAAATTTGCACCTAAATTTTTAGATATTCAGCAAAATCGTTTTTTTTTTTTTTTTTTTGTAGAAAGAACGGAAGCTAATTAAGAAAGAAAAAAAAAAGATCGATAATTTTCTAACGTTTTTCTACTGCAGTTGGAGATTAAAATCAGCAAACACGTTTTCCGGAGGCTGTTAATCCACGTGGCTAGACGGGAGAATTTATGGACCCTTTTTAGCCCTAGAGAGCCATTTATGTACATGTGCATTACGTGCGAGAGAATCTCCATAGTAATAAACTATTTTCACTTAAAAGCGCCGCATTTTTCTCGTGTCGCCCATACCTCTCGGACGAAGATAATACAATCGTCACATTGCGCTCGCGTCGCAAGACGTCGGAGAAATGCCGTTGACAAATCCGCAACGATGCGGTCGCGCGTCGCTGCGTCAGAATAAATAATATCATTTAGCGTTCGTCAAACATCCTGCCTATTTCCTAGTCTGTCGTGCAATAGCTATGTTTGTCCATCTTGATTCTGCCTATATGATTAATTATATACGCAAGTATTTCCTCTCATAGAAGTTGCTAGAATCTGACGCAATCTTTGCAGGACCGCCCACCTGGTTTCTTAGGATCGAGGTGTCTCTAATTAAGTTTAAGTGTGTGTCACCAAATTTTAAAAGATTTTAATAGTCCAAACCACCGCAGCCCTGATAGATAGAAGACAAAGGACATTGCGACTTATGTAACACATTCCGGAGTAAAACAAAATATAATAACAATAAATAAAAGAAGTACCAAATATAATATGATATTTTATAATATGTGTATATATAATATTTATAATATTATATATAAATGTAATTATATATATATTTGATATATAAATAAAGAAAATATTAGGACAAAACGTATGGTATTAAAAATGGAAATTCATGGAACGAAGCAGAGCCAACGATGAAAGACACTCTGATTATATAAGTGACAATTAATTTCGTCAAATATCTCAATTTATTTAAAGGTTACATCTGATTGCTGGAATCTAAAAATGAAAATGTCGACAGATGGTTGCGATTAGCATCTTATATTCCGTGACGAATGATATAGTCAAATAAATTACCTAGGAAAGCAAAATCAATCTCGGGAATATCTCGGGGTACAATACCGTTTATTTTATTATCCGACGATGTACGTTTATTTTGGTCCGTCTTAACTGCATGTTATATTTCGTGCAGTGCGCGACATAAGCTTATAAATTCGATCGGTCTAAATTCAGCAAGATCGTCGGAAATTGCGCAAAAATTGTTCCTCGTCGATCATATCTTATAATATTGTATATTACTTACTTTATGTCGGCGTTAACAATTTTTTTCACGCATAGAAGAAAATATCTTTAAATTCACACGATTTTCTATAATTTTTTTCTAAATTTGTGTAAATTTACGTCTGATAATATTCGATATTATTATAAAATATTTTGATGTGTATTTTTTTGTTTCGGTTCAAATATTTAGTTTCTATTAATGTAGATAGTTCTAAAAGTTAGGAAAAAATGAGAAGTTAAACGGAGATTAACGTTAATCTACATTGGTGAAGGTGGACATTAATCGAATTGATAACATATCTCCATCGATATTTATGGGTCAATTCTAAACAGAATCGTAAGACTCGTAATCTGTTCTCGTAAGATCTGTAAGAACTTATGACTGGAGTTGTAATTCTATGCGTACGTAAGACGTACGATCATTCATAAATATTTATACGATCTCTCGTAAACCTTACGGCTAGCAAGAAGCTGTAAAGATATTGCATAAAGTTATATACATTCCACAGTCATAAGTTCTTACCAGTCACAAGTCTTACGGGAAAAAATTATGAGCCTTACGATTCTGCTTAGAACTTTGACTTATTCCTGCAATATTAAGACATTGTTAATATGCAATTTTTTTATATTCAAAAATTGTTAGTTACGATATAACGATTCAGAGAGTCGGCCTATTTTTATATGTAGGCCTTTTACATTGTCGCTTATAGCATTCGTAATTATCTTCAGTGTCGTGGTGGAGCTATAAAAAGGAGGACGCGTCAGCGATTCGTTTATATAATTAGACACTTTCCTCGCCGCGGCCTCATTAAAATCAGTATAACTAAGCGTGTGCGTGCACCCAGGTTGATCGATCGTAGTAAGTAAATTTCCATTGCGTCCAGAAACAGCTCCCACACCGCCCCGGGAATAGATTTTTCGCCTGGCTACGAGATTTGTTAAGTACTTAAGTGCACTCACTATACAAAGTACGACAAGCCCGGCTGCAAAAGAAGCTGATCGGGATACAGCGTGTCGCAAGGAATCTCTTAAGCACCTCTCCTCGTTTCACTTAAAGCTCCGAAATGAATTAATCATATCGATTATATATCAGCCAACATCCGTTTCTATCTCACATTTGTCGACAGCGATTCTATCTTTAATTAAGAGCAGAATGAACATTTCAGTTTACTGAGTGTCTAGGAAATATAGGAAAAATTTGAGTTTAATCTACACGCGAAAATCTCGCGAAAGGGATTTAAATCTGTGAAAAATCAGATTAACGCTTCGGAGCAATACAATCTTTCTCGGAATAGTAATCACGATGATTGGCAAATAGTATTAAAGCTGGAATAAATGATTTTTATATATAATCGCAGATAAAATCCATATATGCTTTGCAAATTAAGTTTATTCAAGTAGAGCATTGAGGCTCGCGAAATTTTATCGTTTATTTCATTAAAATAATTTTTTTGTCTTTGTATGAAACCTCGATTAGCTCAAGGTAACCATACCATTAAAAAATAGTGCTAGAGATGCGGGAATAATGTTAGTATTATTAACGTGTGAAATGGGATATTGCGAAGAGAGAACTCGATAAGAAGGTCAAAACGTCTGCATAACGAAACTGCAACTTCATCCCGAGCTTGTTAGGAAAACCGTATTTTATTGAACGACGACAATCGGGCTT